ACATTCTTGCGCTTCTTGAGAATAATCATCTTGGTGAGAATTTTCAGACTGGCATCTCAGAAGAAAGAGCTGGAGAAGGTCACTAGAAGGATGGTATGTTTTCTGAAAGCCAGAAAAGAAATAAATGACACTTGCATACTGACTCTATGTCGATAACTTGTATTTAGCCTTCAGACAATATTCTTTTCATTCAGATATCAGAGAACAAGAGACGTTATCAGAGGGATGGATTTGATCTTGATCTTACCTACGTCACAGGTATGAGTGATGTATGTTTCAGAAATGTGTATTGGGCGACTGTGGTTGTGTGGCAGAGTTGTCGTCTTGTAATCAGAAGGTTGTAGGTTCGATTCCAGCTTCATCCTGCCATATGTCGATGTGCCTCTGGGCAAGGCACTTAACCCCAAATTGCCTACCGGTCTGCGTATTGGTGTATGAATGAATGGGTGAATGTGACTCTAGTGTAAAGCGCTTTGAGTGGTCAAAATGACTGGAAAAGCGCTATATAAGTTCAGTTCATTTACCATTAAACTTGTATTGCATGCTTTTTTTATTTTTCCAAATATACAGTAATTGAAAAAAAATACTTCACATTCCATGAAATATTTAGTTAATTGCTGAGGTTTAATCATCTTTTTTATATATGTAGAAAGGAAACCAAATTTATTGCACTTAATTGCACAAAAAAAACCTTGTCAACCATAAGGCATTCAGAGGCCAGTATAATTCTCAGAAACGTTAGTCTAACCAGGAAAAATAGGAAAGCACTCCGTTTAACTATTGACAGCAAAATAAACCATAAAGACAAAAGAATGTCCTCACCACACCTACTATTGCACTCTAGATGTCACCAAAGATGCTAATTAGTGTTGAAATGTGCTTACACTAACTCCAGAGTTAATCTGGGCAATGCACATATCCACAGAGTTAGTTATTGAGAAATCTAGTCTTGAAAAAGGTTGTGCATTCTTTGAACATTAGTCCCCTAATTTTTGCATAGGTTCTCTCTGGCAAACTATTGTTTGGCCTTCGTGTTTTTATTCCTTAGACGTTTAAAGATTGACCTTGTACGACCCCTTCACAATTAAACCTGTGGTGTCTTTTTGTGACTCATCAATATGCCCTTTCATATTCAATATAGCAAGAGCCTGCTGTAGGTATTTTCTAATATATAAAATATATTAGAAAAACATGCAGCTTACCATGAGGTGTGTTAATTTGTTCATGTGAACTTTGGAAGAAAATTTCAGGTGAAACACTTTGTTGCCCATCTCTCTAGATCGTGTCATTGCTATGTCTTTCCCCTCCTCTGGGAAACAGGCCTTTTACAGGAACCCAATCCATGTAAGTAAAATGATCATGAACAAAACTTTTGAAATACAGTAAATAAGTCCTTCGTCACAGTGTATGCTCAGCATAAAAAAAATGTTTCTGCAGGAGGTTGCGAGGTTCCTAGACACTAAACACGGAGGGCACTATAAAGTTTACAACCTATGCAGTGAGTTGGACTGTGCACTCATCTCATTTGGCATTTCTTCTTTATGAACCCTGTCAAGTGATACTTACTGTTTTCAGGTGAAAAAGGGTACGACCCCAAGTTCTTCCACTACAAAGTTGAACGGATTTTTATTGATGACCACAATGTTCCCACCTTAACGTACGTAATTTTCAGTTTGATATTTGTGTTGTAGGCTTTCTTTGATATTGATCTCATCTTGTAAGTGTTCGCACACTCAAGGTACCTTTATAAAGTAACGTCTCGTTGATAATCGTAGGAATGTATAGACTATTTTATGTTTAATAGCCTGGTAGTTTATCGTGGTTTCTTGCTATTGAATTTTACCAGAGACATGCTGAAATACACAGAAAGTGTCAGGAATTGGATGGCTGCTGATCCCAAAAATATTATTGCTATTCACTGCAAAGGAGGGAAAGGTGAAAAATGAATCCTACTTGTTTGACTATCTTGTTAGTTGTTAGTTGTGTCTTGAGTGTCTTTATATCAACCATTTGTCATACTGCTGTCCCACAGGACGCACTGGAACCCTGGTGTGCACATGGCTCATTGACAGTGACCAGTTTGAGAGTGCACAGGTTAGTTTCTGAATTGTTCAAAGCAGGGTTAATGAAGAAGATGAATATTTTAAATACAGAGCCACTTCCTGTTGTCTGTGTGCGTTTGTGCACCAGGACAGTCTGGAGTATTTTGGTGAGAGGAGGACAGACAAGACTCGGAGCTCCAAGTTTCAGGGAGTGGAGACTCCCTCGCAGGTGAGAAAAGCAAGAAATGTTTATCTGGTTCATTTATTTCAATTGAACTTTGTTTAAAAGGTTTTACTGAAATCTGGCCTTTTTGTTTCACGCCTGAATAACACCTCCTTGTGTTGGATGTAAGGAATGACAGATGAATATACATTTCCCATATTTGATTGTTTCAGATTACTTTTCTTCCTAATTTGGTGCTCACAACACATTACATTTTCTTCAGTTTATCTTTTTTATATGTTTAGAATTATTTGCAATACTTTTTTTCATAAGTAAAATAAGACATTTATAACCTGCCAGGTTACACATTTTCATCATTTAAAAATTTATACTTAAAACCACAAAATAGCACAAAAATCTGGCAGGTTTTGTTTTTGTTGAGCATGTCAAATTAGTAATGGGCTTCAAATAAATAAATGGCAATGATCTTCAGCTCACCAGTAGCATATTAAAAACAATTATTTTAATTTTATCAGAATCCACCACAATTCATTGTTGCATTACAAAAAAGTATTCAATTACGACAAGACATTTCTAAAGATTGAGGCAAGCAGCAGAATTCTCCAAGCCTAACTTATCTAGGTTATATAGAATAAAAATACTGAAAATAAGGTTTTAGACGTATTCTTTGTACAGAGTAGAGTGTGATGTATGGTGGATTTTTGTTGTTGTTGTTTTTCTTCCCAATCATTAAAAAAGCCCAAGTTGCTTAGGTATTTGTTCTGTCTGCACCACAGAGCCGCTATGTGGGGTACTATGAGATCATGAAGACCAAGTACAACCGAAATTTGCCTCCATCTAGAAGCCTGAGAATTAAAAGCATCCGGATTCACTCCATAGCAGGTAACTCAGCAAACCTAAGTTCACTTAGATCAACTGCTTCAACAGCCCAGGATTTCTAGTACATGTGTTTTCTTGTTCCTGCCCAGGTGTGGGTAAAGGGGATGGCAGTGATCTGAAAGTGAAAATAATGATGAAGAAAAAACTGGTCTTTCAGTGTGATTGCAGCACACAGGATAACTGCAAGGTGGGTCATTAGACTCATTTGGTTTGCATCATCATTTAACAGTTGTGTAACTTTACTTAATCTTGGTTGTTTTTCAGGTGTTTCCTGATGCAGGCAGCAACGCGGCAGTAATCAGCCTGCAGAATGGGCCTCTAGTTGAAGATGACGTGAAGGTTATGTTTGAATCAAGTGCGGTGAGTCCTTTTAGAACTTTAACCTACAAATGTTAAAAGTTGGTGTTTATCCTGACTGTTTCAGGGTTTTTTTTTTCTTTACCAGTCTCTTCCAAAAGGATATGAAGATGTTCCGTTCTACTTTTGGTTTAATACATCTTTTATAACAGAAAACAAGTAAGTTTCTTTAGCTTGAATAATAATATTTCTAAAGCCTTTACATTCTTCTCAGACCTTGGCAACAGCTGACCTTTTTTTTTTCTATTTAGGCTGTTTTTGTCCAGAGAAGAGCTGGATAACCCACATAAATCTAAAACCTGGAACATATACAAAGAGGACTTTGGTGTCACCATGTTCTTCTCAGATTCTGACTGAAGTAACTTTACAAAGAGGAACAAAAACATGTAATTTTGGAGAAAGCTGTGAAGAAGTTAATGCATTCAACACTAAAGTGTTTGCTATAATCTTCCAAATGCCCAGATCTTCCATTTAGATGATTTTTCTGATTAGCGCTGGATGCACCTGTGATTAAAATAACAAAGGTATTGCTCTGATGTATGTATGGCACTTAACTATGAAATGTTGGAACACTGATGATCGTATTTGGTCCCTAGTGAATCAAACTCTTTCCTGTACGTAACTTGTTTGGACAATGTTTTTCATTTACAACCTTTGTTTGTATTCAGTCTTTGGCTAGAACAAAGTTAAAGTTGGAAGTAATCAGTTTGCTTTTATTGAAGGCCTGCTTCTGAGAAAGTGACAAGCTCTACATATTAACAGAGCTAAATATATATGTATTTATGAATCAACCATACACATTTAAGCACCCTAGCATCAAAGCTCACATTGTGTATAGCACTCAAACACACCAAAGTCTCTAAGAAAAAAAACGGTTGAAGCTGTCAGACGAGTGGATATGCTAAAACTTCGCATAAACCTAATCTAGAACATGGGCTACATCTACCAGATACCTTTTAACATCCTCTAGAATCAGATGTTTTCACAAGTTATTGATGAAGGATTTGAGCATGGCTTGAAGTTTTAGCAATCAATTTTTATTAAAAACTAGATCTGCATCAAATTTGGAAATCAAACTTTCAGACTCAAGTGGAGAGGCACAAAATTCAAGCAACTTGTTTCTATGGTCAATGATCATATAAGCTATGCCATCTGCTGGTTTTCATCCACAATATATGTTAATTCCAAAATCAACCAGAACATTTTTTATTGTAGGGAACCAAATCATGAATGAGCCCATGAGAATTTCAGTGTGTTCAAGGGCATTCTTTAAATTTTGGTGATGACTCAGAATACAGATTGCTGGTTTGTACTTTTAAGATATTTAAAAGTAACCCCCTAAAACATGTAATTTTGGAGAAGGCTGTGAAGAGAAAAAGTTGATGCATTCAACACTAAAGTGTTTGCTATAATCTTCCAAATGCCCAGATCTTCCATTTAGATGATTTTTCTGATTAGCGCTGGATGCACCTGTGATTAAAATAATCATTATGTTTGACCCTTTGAAGTAAATATGGAGGTATTGCATTGTCAACACAAACTTTAGAACAATGATTTATTTTTGCAGTCATGTAGACAATTTTTTTTCACTTGATTTTCAAATTGTATAATTGCTACATATTCTCACATCAAGCAAGTTCTGAGAAGAATACATGTCCCAGCATTGATTCATTAGAAGTTTTTCTAATCAAATAAAGTGCAAGCTAAGGAAAACAAAATAAAATTATGGCTGGCTTTGTAACATAAAACAGTCAAAATTATAAAATGTTTAATCTGTATTTGCCAGTGTCAGACTTAAAAGCCTTTTTACAATCCTTAAGTCTTAGGTAATGCTAATACTGCTAAAATGTCCCATCCTCAGTTTGTATACAGGCTTTCTCAGCTGCATCTCACACTCTGAAAAGAAAAATAGGAAGACATGTAAAAGAGAATTAAAGCACCTGTAAAGCAGCAAATTAATTAGCATGTTTACCCATTCCCTGCTAAAAGGGACCCACTTCATTTGAACAGCTAAAACGATGATTTTGGCTCATATTTGGTCATATTGCTATCCGCTCCTGATTTAGTCTAAAAATAGCTTCCATAAGGTCAACAAAGAGTTTTTCTTGCAGCCCGAGCCAAGTTTCCTGCAAAACCATTGAGATGGTCACACTCGTCCAGCTCGTCGGAGCGTCCACTTCGCAAAAAGCAGAGCATTGTGGTTTTGCATGCCTCTCTGCAGGACTCTGACACATGTCCTTTATGTCTGAGGTACCAGAACTTCTGGAAAGTGTCGTCGTCGTTGATAAAGGTTCGCAGCAGTGTGTTGTAATCAGATGGGAACAAACTGGAAAGACCGTAAGCTTCAGTGGCCCGGTACAGGAGGTTCCATTTGGGGTTCTGCTCTGGTGACTTTGGGTCGTGATTTGCCTCTGTGAGGTTAAGGATGTAGGTTTCATGGTCAAGCACAAGCCGAGAGCTGTTTTTGTAATTTCCATCAACATAATAGATGCGGTAACCTGAAAACAAGGTGAAGTTTAATATGCGGTTTACCTTTATTTAAAAAAAAAACACCACAGAATCACAACAAAATAAAATATTTATATTTTTGTGTGAAAAACAAAAACACCCTCTGGGCTTAAAGTAGCTCTCAGCATAGCAAATTCTGTCATAGAAAACAAATCTCAATGTCCCTGCCTTCTGATTTTACCCTTGATTCCTGTGTGCCCACTGTTATCCATTAAATGGCGATACTTATGGAAATTGCACTTGTTGATTGTAACAGTAAATCCTATTGCAGCAATACACATACTGATGTCTTATTCTGCTGCTAAGCTTGGTGCACCTGACTATAAAAACAGAAGCTGGAATTTTCAGCAATAAAACTCATTCTGTCATAGTAGTAGTGCTGGTACATAATAAAAATAAGTCATTGCACACTTTATGGAATGGAGTAAGCTGTAACAAATTAGTTCGAAACTTCCTCTAACACACTTTTGTGTTCTTGTTTAAAAAATTAAAATTGCTTAACATAAATCTGAAAAAGATTCTGTTGCCAGTTAAATTCTCCTAAATATTGCTATTTAGAACTTTGTGTTTCATTAAATATTCCTACTAAAAATACTAGATTGAGATCTATAATAACATAGCACCTCCCTATCATGGCTGTTTTTTGGAGAACGTTTTATGCAGAGACTCTGATTTAGTGAAACACACCTCATGATCATGTTAGGTCACTCAGCTGGTTCATTGACTCACCTGGATTAAGATTGACATAAGTGGTGGCACTGGGCGCAATGAAAGCCACTCCTAAAGGCCGGGTCATGGTTTCCTCATCGTAAAACATTTGAAACTCATCCAGATGGGTATGCCCAAAAAACTGCCCAGTAATTGTACTTTCGTATCTGAAAACAAGACATTTTTGTTAAAACAGCAAAACTCTGGAACCTCCAATAGTCACTCAGATTCAAAACCACAGCATGATGACAGTCTTACAATGTAAAAACAGAGGAAGTGGAAACAGATGCTTGTAGTAATTTTATTATCATTGCCCCCTGGTATTAGAAATATGCAATATGTCACTGACATTTTTTTTTATTTCAGTTGAACTTCAATGTCCTCTATAAAAAGTAGACCACTCCAAACCCAAGGTGTAACAACATCTTACATTTCACTGACAATAGAAATTCTAACAGCAGGTACCTGTTGACGATGTGATAGTAGTTCCAGCTCCAGCTGCCAAGACACAGGCCAGGTGGGATATGACCAATGATATGAACCTAAACACAAGCAGCAAATAAGCTGACGGTACTGGCTATTAAAATGTTTATCACCCTACAGTGTATGTAATTAGATGCAATTAAAATAACACTGACATCCTGCATGACCAGGACAAAAAGCTACTGACTGGAGGGACGGGGAGAGGGCACAATAAGGGGTATGCTTCAACCACACTCACGTCACACTTTATATTTTAACAGCAAGTGACGAAACCAACCTTCTCTCCTCTGTCCTCACTGGCCTGCAGAACTTGAACCAGCCACTGCAGCTGGTTAGCAGGGTCAGTTGAGTTCACCAGCAGCCAGAAGTTTTCTCGCGCACAGAAGTTCATGTTGAGGGAGACCACCCTCAGCCCGGGCTGAATCTCTACTGTGTAGAACCCTCCATATCTGTTAGCAACACAGGGTTTAATTCAGACTCGTACTAGAATATTATATAAGGAGCAGCATGCTGAGAGCTGCCACCACTTCTGCTCTTCATGTCGTCAGATGTGCTATTCAGACACAGTGAAACTACTACGCCAAACAGTATTGCTCTTTGTTTAAAAAAAAAAAAATATCTGTTGTTAAGCTTTATCTCTATACTATCAAACAGACATTCTAAATACAATAAAAATCATGACTAAAAGTAAACAAACTTAAAAAAAAAAAAAAAAAAAAACCAATGGCCCTTCCTCTGCCATTTTATTATAGAGCCAGGCAGAGGATCGGTTGCCGTGGATGAACGGTGGAGGGAAGCTGTTCACTGGTGTACTCTCATGGTTTCCTACTGCAGGGTAAACAGTCACATTGGCCCCCAGGTACCTGGGTAGAAAACAAGAGAATATTTATCAGTTCAGATCAGAAGGCTGTGACCACAGCAATTTGTAATTGCGTTTCAGTAATAAGTTCATAAACTAAAGAATTTATATCTGTAGATTTAAAGCAACATTTCTGAAGCTTCTTCAACAAAAAAGTAGTTTTTTGCAGCCATTCTTTACCATCATTCATTTGGACTTCATCTACCAAAGTACAACACATTATCCAGGCGGAAATTAACCTCACAAATTGACTCTAGTGTGAGGAAAATAGTATCTTGAACTGTTGCATGAAGGTTTATGGAGGAAGCACTTTAAGTTAGTTGAATTTTCTCAGCATTAAACATTTCAGTTTTAACCCCTCTCTAAATAATGCCAAATTACTTGTGGATGAGTTTGGAGATGACTGTGAGCTCTGTCAGCTGCTGGTTTCTGGTCTGAGACCAGATATTGTGTGCTGGTATGTCTCCAGTCCAGTAGACCCAGTCCCAAGGTCCAGCTTTAGCAGCATTTTCCAGGAGGTTCTCCACTGTGCGTAGAGGCAGGTCACACTTGCTGTAGGTTCCCCAGTAACCAGCCCCTCTCCGCTTCCATTTAGGAACACCTGAGTCTGCGCGACAGCAGAGAGGCTTCTTGCAGTCGGCAGCGCTGCCAGTTTCATATTCCTGTCATCAAAGAGATTTTAAACGTAAACTGCAGACGTGTCTCAAAACTTTTCTTTTCCAAACTGTACGTTAATTTTCACTGATACTGAACTCTTTACTGACCACAAAAAGATTGAAACCAATCATACTTGGACTTTTTAAATTCTGCACACACTCACCATGTCCCAGTGGATATCTGTGAGAAACAGCACCCTACTCTGTGGAGAGCCAGGTTTAGGAGGTGAGAGCGGCGTAACAGGAGGCTTGGGAACCTTTGGCAAAGTGATGTTCCACGGTGCGTAAATGTCAAAAGTGCCACATGAAGGCCCCACCAATACCGCACATGCTTCGGTAGGGGACAGCACAGACTGCTGCAAGGCCGTGATGAAGTCGTCTCTGAACAGCTCAGTTATGTTGCGGCACACTTGCTCATCAGCCAGATGCAAAAGGATGCATGCCTCGCTGACTGCATGTGCCACCAGCTCTTCGTTTGCACTGCTCTAATAGAAGCAACAAAGCAGAAAAAGACTATTAAAGAAAGACGTTGCATGTGAAATACTTCCTGAAAAATAAGTCAAGCTTAAATGAGTTTATTCAAATCTTTATTGCATTTAGGAAATTCTGTGGTTTGGGCTAATAATCACAAATTCTAATGCATGTCTTAGGAAAAACTACACTTTTACCGGTAAACTAAAGTACCCCAGAATATATATTTAGAAGTTCCTTGTTGTTGAAGGAAATGAGAAAAACTCTAAAAACTGGGAACAAAAGCTAAGTGACAACAATTTATGTTTAGTACAGCCTAAAAAGGTTAAAAAAATCTACACACAATGAAGCAAAAATGTTTTTCTACATCTATCTGGAACGTTAAATTGGTGTTTAATGGTGGAATTTGAACAATTTTTGTAACTCATTCTAAAAATAAAAATACAGAAACTGTTTCGCAAGGAGCAGGACTTTATTGGGAAGTTATTTAGAGTGTACAAATCACTGTAGTGAAAGTTCTTTCGTAATCTTGGTGAACTTGTTTTATGCGAGTTGTTGTGTCTGTGGACTAATATCTAGTCTACACACAATGTATATTGTGTGATTATGACTGGAATTGATTTGTACGCTTAATAATTAGCACCAAAGATCAAATAAGTGGAAACTTCATAACAGTATTTCTATATTATGCACAAATATTTCAAACTGACCACACATCAGTTTGTTCCCATCAGTGGGACATTTCTGATCCATTTTGAGAACTTAAGATTTAAAGGTTTCTTATGTACGCTATTGATATCCTGCTTCTGTAACATGTAGCTACGACTTCCATTGCTATAGAAGATCACTGTTATTTTGGGGTCCTATCATTGTCTAAATAGGGATCAGAACCCAGTTAGATACAAATGAAAAGCTTTGGAAATGACAGTGATCACCAGTTGTTTAAACAAGCAGAAGTGTTAACAGGGATGAAGTGGAAGCAGGAACCAGCTCAGACACAAGCAGCAGAATGTATTTAATTCAAATTCAAATATGATTGTTTAATGAGCCATTTATTCACATAAATATGATTAACTTAGTACTTATAAGTTAACGAAGACTTTTCTTGCTAAATAGACCACCGAAAGTTGCATTTGTTTAGCCATCACAATCTTTGCTGGGTATTATCAGTTTAAAGAGATTTTAACTTCCTTCAAGCATATTTTTGTTCCATATAATACAGTACGAGTGTAACCAGTAAACCTTTTGTGGATGCAAAGGCAAGAACCCCCCAATTGATGACTTTGTGTTTTTGTGTTTGATATGATGTAAAGCACTTTGAAATGCCTTGCTGTTGAAATGTGCTATACAAATAAAATTTTATTGATTGATTGATTCTGTGGGTCTATTGTCATCTGTAGCATTCTGCCAATAAGAAAAGAGTTCACCTAGTTAAATATATTTCATTTTTACCACAATTTAATAACTAAATAATATCATACCCTAATATGTTGCAAATGTTAGGTTGTACCAGATATATTATTGCAATGTTGTTCCTCTTTTCAAACTCGGTTGTTCTGTGTTGCAAGAAAAGCAACTTGTTTGCAGTGTTCAGTGTCACGATAACAGATATAGATTTTCTACTCTACTTTTGAGTAAGGGGCAAAAGGTTTACCAGAAGTGCGATGTCAACAATGGTGAAGATCGTTTTGCAAACGGGACAGGTGAGGTTTGTCCAGGAGAAGCCGAGTCCTTGGGTTTCGAACTGTTCCACCAACACGGTCCTGGTCTGAGCTGGATGCTGAGCTGGATGACAGGACCCGAACAGCGGCGACATAAGGAGCAAAGTACAGGTCATCAGAGCCAGGAAGGGGCGTCGTGAAGGGAGCCTCATTGTTCTGACTGCAGCGTGTCTGTGCTGCAAGAAGCAAATGCAGAAGGTAAACCTTGCTGCTTCAAGGAAATGACACCAGTCTGACATTCAAACTTGTTCATGAAATATGAGTCATTCACACCCGCAAACAAAAAAATGTGAACCCGTAAAACATCACGCCAGCTAACAGCTAACTCTACTGCTCATACTGTACCTCTAAAAAGAGTAAAAGTACCGCTATCTTCTCCAGGGAACTCCAGCTGTGGTGAACAAAAGCAACTCCAAGTTCCAGTTCCACTTCCCCGGAGAAGTCAACTGAAACCAGGTCACACGAGTCTTCTTGACATGCTGAGCTGGAAGCAGCTCTGCTTGTTCAGATGCGCAGCTGAGAGTATCCTCCCGGCTGGGACTGCCCGCTGTCACGTGACCGTCACGTCGTCAGCTGATAGGTCACGTGTCATTTGTTTTTCCTTCTCTTCCTAATTTATCAAACAGCAGGGAAAAATGTGATGCAAAATAATGCTACCGAACTCCCTTGGTGACATGGGGATATATATCTTTTTATTTTGCAGAATACATGCAGTTATTCTAATCTGTTCTAATTCTCTCGCTACACCAAACTGCACATCAGAAAGCTGCACAAATGTGGGATCCCGTATCAAACCGCACACCTATCGTTACCTACATTTTAGATAAGAATACCAGCTTTGGTCCCAGTAAAGTGTAACTACATGGAAGATATGAGGAATTTCTTTACTGGGCGTTTTAACATTGTGAAACCATGTTATTGATTGATTCAATGTGACTATTGATCTTGCAGATCAATAAATTGTTCCTACTATTTCAAAAGAACATTCCAAACATACAAAGCTTGTTTGCTTTTGACACTCATCAGTTAATCAAATTCAAAATCTAAGGTAAAAAACTTTAAAAGACCAGAAAAACTGCATACAATCTATTTAAGAGAACGATATAGATTGGTGTTTTCCTTTGCTAAATTTGCCAATTTTGTAAAATGACACCATGGGTCAAATAATCATTTCCTCAAATGTAATGAAATCTAACAACAAAAGGCCATTGCAAAATTTACAGCAGATGAGAAATAATTTATGTGCTTCACAAAGATAATACATTAGAAGTCTTTGTCATAAATATAAAATTTTATTTCATCTGCTATAGCAGGCGTGTACAAAAAGCTATAATTCTATACACATTTCTTTGGATCAGCTTCTGTCTTGTGAATCACTGAAATGTAATTCACACTGCAGATACAATTTTGAACATTCCAACAAGAACATTTGAGTGATTATATAAGAACAACACAGGCAAAGTAACACATAAACTTCAAATTAACTTGCATAAAACAAGCATTGCATGTTTAAAATACGTGCAGCTGCAGTGGTTTGTGGCTTTATTTACAGTGGCGTAGCAGATACATGACTGGAGTGAAGCTAAAGAGTGGTTGGGTAATAAAACAAGAGTCTTGGACACATTGACTCTAAGATATTCACTTGTCTTGCATCTTTTCCAAAATGGGAACAATCATGTCAAACTTGGGCCTCTTGGCTGGATCTTCGTTCATGCAGAGCCTCATCAGCTTGCAGATGTGAGGAGAGATGCCTGGTGGAATGGTTGGCCGGAGTCCCTCCAGAGCGATCTGAGCAGTGGGAGGAAAATTATGTGCCGTTGTGTCATGTACAGTGCTTTGGAAAAATATTTCACAATTGTCACAACATTTTTTACATCTTGTTACACTAAGTGTGGCAGAACAATCCCCAGAACCAAATTCAGAGTGGCAGAATCAAGGTGTTGGATGTTTTTCTTCAGCAATAATAGTCAGAGTTTCTTGAAAGTTGGCTAAAGCTAAGTACGGGGCAATTCGCTAAGAAGCCAATATTGATTCAGACACCAATATTGATTCAGACACTTCCAATACAACTGATACAACACCGAACACTTTCTACAGATAAAAAAATATTTTAAAGACAATGTATAATTTTTTCAACTTCACAATTATGCTCTAGTTTGTGTTTGTATAAATGTCTCATTGAAAAACAAGGACGTTTGTTGTTCCTGTGAGGTAGAAAAATTAATATTTCAGAGGACGTGAATAATTTTGCAGTGCACTCTGAAATATATAGTTTGAGCATTTGGTGTGTTGCTACCTTCATCCCTATCTCCATGTTTGAGAGATCAGCAAAGGGAACCTCTCTGGTAACCAGCTCCCATAGTAACACTGCGAAGCTCCACATGTCAGCAGATCTTCTGTTGATGTCTTCTGGCTTTTTCTGCAGTGCTAAAAGCGTTAAGAAGGAGAATATGAGAAAAATTAATGGAAAAGGAAGGTCCAATGCGAGGCGCAAATACCTTCAGGGGCCATCCAGGCTGGTGAGTACATGCGCCCAGGACACTGGAAGGAGAATTTAGCATCTGCCATGCTTATTCTGGCTGTCATATCCTCATCAATCTGTAAATTAAACACAATGGGTAAAGACTCATCATACATAAAAGTGCCAAACAAAACAAGAATTTTCCCAGTTTGCTTATACACTGTGCCTACCACTAATTTAAATGACTGATTTAATGTGTAATTTTGCCCGCATTAAATTATAGCATTTAATGTGTACAATAATGCTTTTTATGCACAGCTGCTGATCCCAAAATGCCCCTTTTTTATTTCAGCTGTCCAATAGAAAGTTTTGGATATTTAATGTTTCCTCACCTCCCACACTGTTCTTTACAAAATAAATATAATAATCTTGTATTTCAGTTTCAGTTGTTGCTGATTAATATTGTAACTGAAGATATAAGTAAGTTTAGGTGAGTAGTCTTTCTGTAAACCATTTCCTGACTTATTAAGATAAACATCAGAGATGCAGTAGGAAATCAGCTGTTGACTGTTTTTAGGGTCATGTCATATTTTTACCAAGAAAAATTATTGTTTAAAAACTGATTAAAAGTTCATTAGCATTCTTTTCAATTTCTATTACTTTCATAGAAATTGCTCAAATAAGCCTGTGGCCAGTTATTAACTGGTTATAAGGCTTTTCAAACATTCTAACCTGAAGTAGCAATGATTGTGTAACGTGACATACCAGAGGTACCTTACCATGATATGCTTACTATTGAGGTAAAGCCGTGAAACCATCGGCTCTAAGGTGTGGAGGAATGCCATCCCACTCGCAATGTCCAAGGCAAACTTGACCGCTTGGCTTTGGTCAACCACCAGAGCTGTTGAAGACAAGGCGAGGAACAAAATGTGAAACAACAAACTAAGTAACTAACAATAAAATTGACATTCAAATGTCATGGATGTCAGTAATGTGTATGCAAATAGGTTTATATTTGTATGTTTGATATGGGATCCCAAATTGACATGAGGAACAATAGCATCTGCAGTTGTACTGTGAGTACCTGGGCTTTCCTTTGAGTATAAAAATATGTATAAATTGTTATTTGACTTTTTATTATTTCCCCCTTTTACCTGAAATTTTTTTTGTTAGTTTACGTTTGTTTATTTGGTGGTTTGGTGATCTTTCTGTAAGCTAAATGTAACTGTGCAGTGAGGCTAGCAAAAAATGAGTAAGCCGATTTTTAAACAGTTAAGTCTAGTAAAAACGTTTGCGGAAAAATAAAAAACTGTGGAAATGAAACAAATGTCATTTCACTGGGAATTTCCATCGTCCTCCTCCAGTGGGTAGGCTTTTCTTTCCTGTCTGTATTATTTCTACAAAAACATAGGCTATGCAGGCATGTAAGTGTGTATGTGGCATTGTGCATGTTGGGCCTTGTGTTGATTAAGTACACTGTTTCTGTGTGGCAAGGGCATCATGCTCATGTGCCCTGTGTTTGTGGAAGTTAGGCTTCTGCTGATTTGGGGATGCGTGTTGGAGGTATGGTTGTGTTCATGTGGGTCAGGTGCAGTGATGGTTGTGAGTACCATCTGATAATTGTATACCTGTTGGTACCCCAGATGAGGAATAGCCTGTACCCAGAATATTTGTGTGTGCTGGCTCTTGAAGCGCTCACCCAGATTGGAATGGAGGGTTATTGTTTGTGCACTTTTTTTCTACCACAGATTTGCCTTCCACTCAACGTTTTTTAAATGTGCATGAACAGAGCACCCTGTGAGCAGACAGCTTTGTTAGCACTGACTTTTTGTGGCTTACCTTACCAGACACCACTCAAGTCATCAGTCTTCCACATGACTGTCTAGTTTCACTTTATGAACAATCTTGTTTTGCTTTTATATGTTTATGTTTACTATTAAAATACATAAACACCTTGAAGAATTGATATTTTTTTTAAGTGTAAGAACATATTTTTGTTTGGACTGTTGCACAGTGAGTTACAGCTATTCTAAGCAGAGGTTTTATAACCTGAGAAAATTAAGAGAGCAAATTTTCTTTTTTGTACTTGCACGTCAAACAAATTACTTACTTGTGCCCTGATGGAGGATGGTGTACAGAGATCCGTATGGCATGTAGTGGGCGATGATGATCGGATGAGGAGAGGGAGGGGACTGACATGCCCCAAGGACAGGCAGAATATTTGGATGAGAAAAGATTCTGTAATGGTAAAAAGAGAAACAAACAGCTGCTGTGTTAACATAAAATTATACTTCACTCAAGAAAATAAGAACAAAACTGTCAAAAAATATGTTAAAACAGTACACTTGTATGATCTGGAGTCCTTTTAAGTTAAGTTTTACACTTCATTAAAAGAAACTCTTTCATTTTTGCAAAATCTACCCAAGTTAAGCCAAAGTACTTTTATTTAAACATAAGTTCTCAAAAGAAAGCAAAATAACTGAAGCTCACATTAAAGTAAGAACATAGCTGTGCTACTCAGACTCTCCAATGGGGTTTCTTTGACTTGGTTAGTTTAAAGACTTCTTTCTTTTTTTGTTTTTTCTTACAGCCTAATGGGTCTCAAAGATGGGAAACACTGATTAAACGCAGTCCAGATGGTAAAAAAGTTAAATATGCGTTTTATGTTATGCATTGCTAATTGAATGCAGTGTTGTTTCACTCTCAGATGCATGCAAGCTGCACAAACAACTAAGAATATGGTTTATAGACGTGCTTTGGGGTTGGGCAAGCTTAGTCAGAATGGTTTAGTGTCAGCACACTAAAGTTAAATTTTTGTTTAAATGTCATAATAATAAATCCATGCAAAAAATGGACAACCCCCCCCAAAAAACATCACAATTAGTGAGGTCAAAGAAAGTGTCAAAGATGTGCGTTTAACCTTTTTTTGTTGCACAAACAAACGTCAATCACTGACTCCAAATAAAATAGTTTTTACATAAAAATGATTGTGAGTTCAAATGTTCACTCCCTCCACATTTTTCCATAATTTTCCTTTCATATATTTACATTCATTCATTATTCACCAT